CAGTTAAATAGGTCGTTTGAGCAGAAAACGTGCCGTTGCCTGTGTTGAGGAGAACACCAACATTGTTCGAAGCGTAGTTTACGACAATAATGTCGGGTTTGCCGTCGCCATTGACGTCGGCGGCGCTTAGAAACTTAGGATAAGAGCCGGTTGAATAGGTCATTTGACCAGTAAATATAATACTACATTGAGCTATTCCGAAACAAAAATAATGTTTTTAGCACCTGTATAATTATGTAGAAGTATTGTCTCATCACTGCGATTCTACTAATGAATGGCTGCATCCCGATCAGGACCGGCGAGAAGGGGACGGGGACTGAATGATGTCCCTCAGTCTTGGAAATGTTTCTGTTTCCCGGCGGAGTTGAATACTTCCTCACATTCTTTATAGTTTCCATGGCAACCCTATCACCTGAGAAATCGATAAACTCCACCCTCACCCCTCACCGCTTCCTGCAGCTGTTCTCTGTTAATTCGTTCTTTATTTGGTGTGGTGATGCCGCCTCAAATGTTTTTCTACTGAAACTCGACTGAATCAATCTTGAACTCGATCGAAACACCAAACGATGTGAGCTCCTCCTAAACCGAACTTACCAGATTTTTCCTTAGCTACAGATAATTGAATAGATGACAGTATGTCTCCAATGGAAAGGGATGAGAAAATAGTTCGATTCAATTGGACAAGTCAATGGTCAATTCAACAAGCGTCTTGTAACTTTTCTTCGAAAATAGGCTTGAATCTACTTAAAGGAAGCTCATTCCCTCCGTAGAAGGACCACCCTCAACATGAAAGAAAGAAGGCAGACAAGACAGAGGAGAGGACAGGGCAGAATAATTAAAAAGAACTTTTGTGACAAGTGAGTACTATCCATTCCAAAATACAGTTGATGGTCAGTGTACTTTCAATAACTTTAGAACGGAAGTAGTTAGTCTAACTACCGACTATAAAAGATTTAGTTAGGCGTACTAGTTACAGTTAGACTAACTTAACTGCAACAGCCACGCTTACTAAGGAAGAATTTTCTTAATGTTCGAATTCGAATAGTGGACCAATAAATTCCTTTTTGTTCGGTAGCCACTGAAAAATGAAGCAATTGGCGTTGGCTTTCATCGATCTTTTGCTTCTACGTGGAGATTTTCCCCTAAAATTCAATTTAGCGTTTTCCGGATCTCGCCTTGTTGGGATGACTGCAAAACGAAGCAGAATTTGAAAAATCGAAGCGAAATCGTTTCATTTTTTGTTTTTTATTCATTGAAATTAGTTTAAATAGCTTCAAACTGTCTAAAACAGGAGAAAATGTTTCTTGCTATCACCTACTTTTGACTAGTTTCGATTTTTCTCTTGGACGCAAAACTTCAATTGGTTGAAACTTTTTTCATGATCGGCTACACTGATGACTGACATCCAAACAATGTTCAAAGTGATTGGTTGGCAGGGACCCAATATCAATTCCTGTGGTGGGGGGATCTTAAAGAGATGTACCGTATAGAGCTTTCCAGAACTGACTTTAATCGATCGAATAATGTATAATAATTGTGAAATCAGTTAGATTTCAGTAAAATGATGAGGCAAATAATAAAGTTTTCAGCGCGATGCCTACGTGATTTAAATGTGAAACACGATGGAACTGCTTCCATAGTGGACAAAAAATCATATTATCAGATCACTTACAACACTCGGCACTTCCATACATTTGTTTCCCTTGATTTTTTCAACGGTGATAAGTGGACGCCTATCACCAGCGCAAATATCAGCGGGCCTCCTGTAATTTGGCAGACTTCAGTGGGACAGTAGGCCGTCGTTTTATTTTTGGTCGGCTCTGGAGTAGGACACGCTAATCCAGTCCAGGCGATCAGGTCAGACGCAAAAAGTAGCCTTTTAGTACATCTGATCTATCTATTATAGATGCAATACAAATCAATATCAAAACACACTCCACAGACCGAGTGTGGCAAGAAACACGTGACTCCTATAGGGTGAGACAAATAGAGGGTCGTAACAGGTTACGGACGTCCATGTACAAGTCATCGATGTTCCAAAAAGTACGTCCCTCGTTTAAGACTAAATTAAAGAGGGGGTTACAGCAACCGCTGGACGTCCACTTATAAGTCATAGAGCTAACGAACATATGGCCGTGGCTTAATTGAATTTACATTGCTGATGGACATCTGTTACAATCGAAGTGTTCCCCTTCGATCGTAAGACGGAACAAACGAATAATAAACGCTCCTTTCGAGTATAGTGGTAGTACAGCTGCCCGGAAAGCAGAAGACGTTGGTTTGACTCCATCGGAGGAAGATTGTCCTTTTATTCCGTTTTATTGTCATACCATCACGCTATTGTCTCGCTGATAACTGAGTTTAATAATGTGAGAAAAAAGAATACATAACAAACACAAAGCTTTAGTTCGTACATTGCTGTGTTTTTCAATATTTATCTGGTTTTTTGAGATTCTCAAGGTATACAAGTAAAACTTTTGCTCGGTTCTTTTAGTAATTTGTAAGCGACAAAAAGTGTAATAAGTGAGTTGGAGAGATTCGAGATCAAAGATGGGCTTTATGCAATTCATTTTACAAAAGGTAAACAGCAGTGTCTAAGTTCCCAGGAGTCGGGGATTTGTTGGGAATTGGGAACTCAGGGAAGTCAAGGAAAAGAGTGAAGTAAGGGCCTGTAATCGATTTGCTTGTATTGGACGATGAGTATCTCGGGTATTATGTACTTAATCGGCATGATACATAATGGCGATAATTGACATAATAGACACAGTGTTTATCGATTGACTTAATAGATACATGAATGACCATGTGGGGATATGCAAAATTCAACTGTTCCCTTAAGAATAAGTTCCAGTAGGTTAGAGTGATTCCTTATTTTGCTCTCGTAATTTTAAACGTTGAAGAAAGCAGAAATTTGTGATGGTGTGCGTGTCTTCTACTACCTTCCTTCATGCATACACTTACACTATATCGTGGTCGTAAGTTACTTGGATCCCTGGCTTCAGTGACTTCTCTGACTTCCCTGATTTGTTTGGAGTCCCAGAGTTTCTCGGATTCCCCGACTTCCCTGAGTTCCTTGTAGTTCCAGAGTTCCTTGGAATCCTCGAGTTCCTCGGATTCCCTGAGCTCCTTGATTTCCCTGAGATGCTTCACGTGTTTTGGTTTCACATCGCTCGTTGTCACTTATTTATTTTTGAGTTCTAATTCGCGAAGAGTTCCAGACTTCTGGGAACTTGGCCACGTCTCATGGTTCAATGTTATAAGTAGAGTTGAATGTGATACCTAGGGTTGAATGTTATAACTAGGGTTGCAGGTTATAAACAGGGTGAAATGTTATAGCTACGGTTGAATATTACCACCGAATTTACTTTTCGACTTAAAAGTTCATCGGTTATAACACAAAAAGTCATAACTCGAATTATAAATGAGGCAGTTTTAACCCCCACAGTGGTCAATACTCCATAAGATATCAACATGTTACAAATTTATGCTAACTAATATGTTAGAGCTCATTTATAATGGCGTAGCTATTGTTAGGTCCGAATGAAAAGTAGGGGTGAACCATTTAATTTAATGCGAGTTAATTAACGGTTTTAGTTAACGTTAATTTTAAATTAACGTAAACATACCATCCCTGATGAAGAGCCGAATTACTTTTTATGTGCTTGCCATTATCCAAAAAGCTAAATATGTGTGCCATTGAAATTTCTGCTAATCACTTTCTAACTTACAATATTAATTGAACGTTGAAAAGCAATAGTATTACCTGACACCATGCTTGTTGTCATGCTAGTAGCTGTACTAACCATTCCGTCGGTTGTACTAACCATTCTGTTGGTTGTACTAATTATTCCGCTGGTTGTACTAACCATTCCGCCGGTTGTACTAACCATTCCGCCGGTTGTACTAACCATTCTGTTGGTTGTACTAATTATTCCGCTGGTTGTACTAACCATTCTGTTGGTTGTACTAATTATTCCGCCAGTTGTACTAATCATTCTGCCCGTTGTACTAATTATTCCGCCGGTTGTACTAATTATTCCGCTGGTTGTACTACCCATTCCGCCGGCTGTACTAACCATTCCGCCGGTTGTACTAACCATTCTGTTGGTTGTACTAATTATTCCGCTGGTTGTACTAACCATTCTGTTGGTTGTACTAATTATTCCGCCAGTTGNTGTTAAAATTGGATAAGACCAGAGAAGCATTGCGAATAATACCCACAAGCGATGCATCGATACAGCTAGCAGCAATGATATATGGAATCATCAGAGCAAGAAACATCGTGTATCTCTATAGATACGAAAGTGTTAAATCTGAAAATGTCAATCTGTTTACTGAAAACTGTACTTCCGATTGATAAACAATGGAATATATTTCTCTAGAGAAAAATTCCGAATCTATTGAATACATTCGGATAAATGGGAATAAATGACAAAATAAAATGGTCATTACGTATTCAGTAGTAAAGCAGCAGATAGTTTTTCAGTCTCTTTGTTGACTACGGTTCTCAGTTTGCTATTCGGGTTCAATTCTTTACTTTGGCAGAAAAAAATAGTAGTGCCAAACTTGAAACTTGAACATCCTTCAGAATGCTATTGGTTTAAAAGTTGAAAATTGAAAATTTCAATTTTCAATTGAATTCAAGTTTCAAGTTGGATATATATGGAAAAAAAGACAAACAACACAATTCTATTGATGACTGAAACATTTATTAAGTCAATAAAATAAAATAAGTACTCATTTTTGAAGAGTAACATGTTGTAATTCATTGAAGGTGCATATACGTTTTTTTCCCTCGCTTCTAGTCTTGATTAGAAATGCATCAAAGCTATGTTAATCCTTATTTTAGTGAACTTTTAATTGATTTCATTACTGATGGTAAGGATGTTAGTTTGACTTTGAGTATCGTTTGAATCTCATACACAACCACCGTCCTGATTTTGCCAAGAAAGCTTATTATCACAGTTCCTTTTTGGCGAAAATGGAGAGCTGACATAATTATTAAAAGTGAAAATACTGAAGAAATGTAAAACTACTTAGTTACTATAGTCTTTAATGAGGATCTTTGTTGCTCTTGTCTTCATTCGACAGGGGGAATCGTCAAAACTTAGACTTAAAACTGACATTCCTTATTTTCTTCGATAGAATATTTGAATTCCACAAAATCCTTCTGCTACTATTCTGATTATTGAGAAAAAAATCTTTCGGTTTGTAAAATGTGAATATGGTAAACTTGAGATTGAATAAATTTCAAAACGTCCGTATTGTTACATAACTAATAGAAGCCAATTGTTGAATCTCACTGTTGATTACTTTTTCGACCGTTCTTCGTAAGTAAAACTTCCTTCAAATATATGAACTTTCTGGAGAAGCAATGTATTAAACGTAATTGTGCCCATATTGATGGCACGCGTCGATGATTCTTCTTTCTTTTCTTTCTGTTCCCTTTCCATTGTTCTAATATATATATATACAGTGGTGTGCAAAAAAAATTGCCGTTATGTATACGAACTTTCTCGATTTTTTTTCTTACTTATCTAGAGAGGAATATTCTAGAACTTTGTCGAACATATAGGTTAGGTACTATAAATATGATGTAGGGTTACATTCTTTCCGAAGTCTCTATTGGTTAAATAAAAATGAAATTGAAAGTACATAACACCCATCTATCTACACATCGATCAGTGATATTACATTATTACAATCTGGGCCATCGTTGTGCTGCTGAAATTGCTCGACAAACAAAGATTCCTGTTCTTACTGTCCGGTATAATCTGGTCAAAATTAAGAAAGAAGGTGGAGTGGAACATCGACGGGGTAATGGTCGACCACGGAAGATCACACTTGAAGATAATCGAGCAATAGGTCAATGAATTCGAAGAAACAATGAAATAACCGCTCAGGAAATTATTGAAAAACTTCAAGCAAATCGAAATTTGACTGTATCTCGATGGACAGTGCAACGACAGCTTCATCGTTTAGGTTATGAAAATGTTTTACCACGAGGAACTCCAATGCTGACAAATGAACAAAAAGAAAGACGTGTACAATGGGCATTGGCACATAAAGACGACGATTGGAATCGAACAGTGTTCTCTGACGAAACATCGTATCAATTATTCCGAAACACAATACATCGTTGGTCCAAACATGCTCAAGAAGAAAAAAAAAGAATTCCAAAAAACAGACAAAAAATCATGGTGTGGGGTGCATTCACCAACAAAGGTCAAATATCATGTTATTCGTTTCGAACAACAATGGATGGACCTCTCTATGTCGAGATACTTCGAAAACATCTTCTTAATGGTGCAAGAAAACAGTTTGGGAGTCGTTGGCGATACCAACAAGACAACGACCCCAAACACACCAGTAAAATAGCTAAACAATTCTTGGAAAAGGAAGTACCCGAAATGATTGATTGGCCAAGTAACAGTCCCGATATCAATCCAATAGAAAACATGTGGTCGATACTCAAGCGACGTGTAGAAAAACAAAACCCATCAAATATCGACGAACTCGATCAGTTTTTACACGAAGAATGGCAAAAAGTCGAAACAAACATTATAAATAATTTGGTGAATTCGATGAAATCTAGATGTTTAGCGATTATTGATTCAAAGGGAGAAAGAATAAATTATTAATTTTTCTAGCTTTGTACTATACTATATGTGTAAAATTTTTGCGAAAAAAATTATTTCTTTTGTTACTGAAAAAGAAGAAAAAATTCTGAAATTTTAACGGCAATTTTTTTTGTACACCACTGTATATATATCCTGTCTCTCCTATTTCTCTCCTATATATACGTGTATATTGTATGAAGTTGTTACACTCTGGATATGTGAAGAAGCGAATAAAAATCATTGTCGAGGGTGGCGGTAAGCTACTCCGTCTCAATCCAGTTCGTCTTAAACGCTGAGATCAGCACTTTTTTGGATTCTTAAAACTTAAAAAAATTCTTTCAAAAACCTTTCGCTGTCTCAGGGTGCTGTGCGCTTGAATATGGATTAAAATTCAGGGTGTGGGTGTGGGTGTGGATGATACTATGGGGGAAAGAAAAGAACCAACACCCACACCCACATCCTTATGTCCATTACCCCCATTGTGTACATGATGCCAAATATACTGAGGGTCCAATCCTAGCCAGTTTATTCCAAGTTCTGACTTCGCTGGAATCGCTGGAAACCCTGAGATCTTTAAGATCTCTGACGTCCCTGGAATCCCTCAGTTACCTGGAGTCCCTCAGTTACGTGGAGTCCCTCAGTTACCTGGAATCGCACACTTCCATTGGGACGTTTTAGTTTATTGTCGCTGGTTCTTGCTTCTTGATTTTTGAGTTCCGAATTCCCAATGAGTTGCCGACTCCAGGGAACTTGGCCAGATCTCTTATAACAAATAACTATCGAAAAAAGTTATTGTTATTCATAACAATAAGAAAAAAAGTTATTGTTACAAATAACAATAACAGAAATAGTTATTGTTATTTTTTTATTAATAACAACAAGATAATAATAACTTCTCACCCCTATTTGAAAATGTCTACTGTATATCGTTTAGGGCTCCATTGGACAAATTGGAAAACATGAATGGAAAAGTTTTTATAACTTACCATTCATGATTCTTCATAGCTTCCCTTTCCGAGGAAAAATATTGGAAAGTAGAAAAAATAATAAAAGATGCTCCTTTCGAGTAAAACGGAAGCAACAACTTTCCTTCCGGAGAGAAAATATAGGAACGTAGGAAAAATTAAAAAGATTCTTTCCTAGAAAAAAGAAAGCAAAAACTGTCCTTTCATTACCTTTCTGAAAGTAAAAGGAAAGCGCTACTTCTAGTAAATAGTACACTTAGTCTTAGCATTCGCCATTTCAAATTTATATTGCTAGTAAATATTTATTCTTAATACGTTCTCATTGTTTAGTCTATCAAATTCCATCAAACATCTTTTTAATTCAAAAATAGTTATCTCTATAAATATCGTGTCTTCTGATAATGTATTCTCTTCAGATATGTAGTGTACTATATGAATACACACTGACTAGCATTCTCACTTTCATATATAAAGTTTCCTTGTTTTCTTATCAAGAAATTCTGCTTTTCCCATTCAGATATCATCAAAATAGTAACATAAAAATGTTCATGGGCCATGGTAAGGAGACCATGGTCAAAGAAATAGGCTTGTTAGGATCTCTATAACATTCATAGAACAACTATTCTACTCAAAAAGAGGTAGAAGAAATTCAAATAGTTTTCAATTGATCTGAAAAAGATTTCCGGGTTGAGTCCACCCCAGCCTGAAAACCTGATTGCAACGCTATAGTACAAGGGGGAGAAGACGGATTCAGGATTCCTGGATTGTCATGGGATTCTCGAGATTCCCGTAGGATTCTGGGAATCCGGGAATCCCTGGAATCCCATGAATTCTCGGAATTTTTATAATAACAAATGACATTCCAGAAATTCATAGTTGATCTCTACGATCCTCACTCTAGTCCTGAAAATCTGATAGAACTCATTGTCAAAGCTTCATTGCTTTATCGATTGGCTTGAAAAGCTGCACTAAACTATTGAGGAAAATCATTTCCTAGGCAAACTTATTTTTTCATATGCTTGACCTGTTCAGATATCACGATTTGTCCACAGAACATGACACTCTTGCTTCAAATGCTCATGTATTTCATGCGCATACCCCAAGACAGTTCACTAGGGTTATCTATTTTAAAATTCTAGGCACGTAACCTAATTAGATCAGCAGTGGCAGAATTCTCACCAAGCAAAATTCGAGAATTCTGTTCATTTATAAACTATGTTATATTCTTTCTTTCCTGTGTTATTATATATGCACACACACACTATCTTAGATCAACAACAGAATTCTAAGCAGGATTAATCATTTACCGGCAGAATTTTGAAGAATTCTGTATTCTCTACAGAATTTTGTATCAATACAAGAATATATATATTTCTAATCGAAACGGAAGTTTTTCTTAGGATTTTGTTTAAAAGCAGAATTATGAGTTTGTTATAAAACTTTCCTGTATTTTATCTAAGGAATATTTTGAACTAGAATCAGAAGTTGAATATTCAGGTTTTGAAGAATTTTTCAAATATAATTACCATCTGCTGAAGTACTTTATTATTATTGTCAACCTTATCGCTTTATTTTATGCAACCGTTTCATAGGAATGTTTTCTTAAATATTTGCTCATTCAAATTTCTATATCTAAATTCAAAAATGTTGATTTGTCGATTAATTGAGTTTTACAAAGAAATCAATGCAGAAAAAAGATTTTCAACACAACCCCATTGGGGCTAAAATGCGGAACTCATGTATCATGGATTACTTAGATAAATACTAGCTTAATAGAGAATTTTCTTTTCTTTAATAGAACAAGTTTCATAATGTTTTTTCGGAATAAGATAGAAAAAAAAATTTTTTTAACATTTGGAAGTTATTAAACATGTTAACAGTGAATTGTAATAGTATAGAGAAGATATGAAGATGATATAGCTATTAATATTGTTGATAAAAAATATTGAGAGATTTTAATTATATTTTGATACGAGTTGGGTACTTGATATAATTTATAAAGATATGACAAAAGTTTTCGACTAAATGGAATAAGTGGACATTATACATATACTAAAGAGGATCGAAGCTGTTGTTTATGTTTGGCTAATTTATTATCATAGATTATCAGAAACATTTATAAAATAAACTTTCATTCATGAAATAATGACCACCTTGAAATGATTGAATGTAACAATTATTCACTACAAATGATATTTGATCCTCTCTCAAACGCAAACTTTACATCATAATTTTTGAGATCAACTACTTTAATCAAATTCAAACTTTTAAACTATACGATTCCATATATTGATACAAAATTTTCAATTAAACTATTGGTTTATTACTGATATTAGATTTAAGAATAAAAATAAACGATAATATTTTTATTAGTTTAGTTGACCTAACAAAACTCTTGTACCAAATAGAATTAAAAATTATCATCGGTCATATCTAAAAACTCTCAAAGCAATTGTAACTGTAAATATTTATTCTGAATAATATACGCGTCATATTTATTAGTTGCTTTTGTTTTTGTTTATGTTTTATTAAGATAATTAAATATTGTGATGATAACAGTATATTTGTCTTTTTCTTTTTTTTCTTTCTATTGTCCATTTATTAGCCTTTCGTTTTCTACTCTGTCTTCTCTCTCTCTTTCTCTCTCTCCTTTGGGTATAAAAGCGTGTCCTATGTATGTAAACAATGTGACGAGTTTTGATAAAATAAATGCTTGTAATGATGTAACTACGATTTATTTAGCTTCTTTATATCATAAATCGCATCATTTACACATAGAACACAGATTAATATAACCAATGAAGATGAAGAGAGAGAGAGCAAGGGAGATAAACAAAAGAAAAAGAAAAGGAACGGCTAATAAATGGACAATAAGAAGAAAAAAAGGAAGCAAATAGATGAGTAACACAGAGAAAAACGATGACGATTTATTGATTATTCAAAATAATATCTCTATACACGAAAACCTAGGATTATTCTAATGTTAATAAACTATAAATGACTGAAAAAATTGTTTTTTTCAATATAAAATACACATGACTTAAACTTCCACGCCTGTTATTTAATTAAGAATACAACACACCATTTAAAACAAATTTTTGATATTTACATTTTTCTATCTTTAAATAAAACCGATGTGAAAAATTTTCTATCTAAACATTCTTCTCCTATTTTAAAAAAGTACTAGTTCCATTGATGTCTTTTTATTTCTTATTTCATGTACTGAAACTAGTAAAAATTTTTTTCATGAGAAACAGAATTCTCACACAATTCTGTATGGGAAACAGAATTTTCTGTTGGTAGTGTTCATTACGCCTTTAAGTCATATAGGTATTATTCTTACAGAATTCTGGTGGTTGTTCTTGGGAAACTTCTGCCACCCCTCAATAATCGAAGCTTTCTGAATGCACATACAACATGTATCCTACTCAATTATACAGTGTTTAAATATAGATGCCAATCATGTGATGAAGATTCATGTACCTACTACACTTGTTTTTGATGAAAATTTCGAATTCTCATATCCTATTTCCAATTAAACAGTAGTCAGGACTAGATTCAGCAGTATAGGCAAGAAAAATACACACACTCAGACACAAGTATAGTTTGATGTTCTTTAGTAGTTACACAATTCTGATTTCTTTTGTTTTTCTACCAGATTGATCAGAATTATACTTGTTACTATACAACAAAACAAGTTACTTCAGTCATTTTTGAACTACACTGTAAAAAAATAGGTGTTTTACCGAACTTTGAAGGATTGGTACTATTTTACAAAACGATTTTAATTTCCGTGACATAAAAATAGTTTCGGAACTTTCATACAGAACCTTTTTAAGTTTCGGGAGTTGGAAAGGGTTTGAAGTTTTACTACGACGCTATCTAGAAGTTTTGTTGAGCATGAACCGAACTTTTGATAGTTTCGTATTCGTCATACAAAACCATTAGGAGTTCTGTACAGCATTTAAAAATTCCGTATAAATTCTTCGAAACCATTCAGGGTTGCGTAAGTCCACTAAAGGTCCTGGATACACTCTACGAAACTAATTCCGGTTCCGCAAAATAAATACTGAACCTTTGCATCATTTATGAAGCAGTGAATAGTTTTGTACGATCTACGCTGAACGTTTTTATGTTTTACGGAAACTAATGAGAGTTTCATTTAACAAGGAAAGGTTTCGTGTATCTTATATGAATCCATGGAAAGTTTTGCGAAGCGTCCAAAGGTTCAGCGTGCATTGTACGAAACCATTTACACTTTTGTAAATGACATAATAGTTCAGTATATCTTTTGAAAAACCATGACTAGTTTCGTGGAATATTTCCCGAACGATTAGAGCATTTAAACAACTATGAATGACTTCGTAGAGCATATTCGGTACGTTTAGATACCCTATGAAACTGGCAAAAGTTTCATGGTATATCTGCTGAACCTTCAGATAAATGGACGAAACCGCTAATGGCTCGCAAAAGATATACAAAATCATTATATGCCTTTCCAAGTGATTAGTAATTTCGTAAAGTAGGTGTAAAACCTGTGCAATATTTATAGAGGTATGCATGGTTTCGTAAAGATATGCCGAACCATTGTAGAGTTCATGGAACTACCAATAGGTTCGTAACAGGTATACGGAACTATCAATGGTATTATATAATTCCCATAGAACCTATATCTAGCTTTCGACACTATCTATAGTTTTGTACTATTCATATCGAATCGTCAAATAAGTGACGAAACTCTTAATGGTTTAGTACACGTTTACCAAACCATTGTATAGTTCACGAAACCATCAATAGATCGGTACAAATTGTACGGACCCATTTTACGCCTTTCGGAACTAGGGGTGGTTTTATATTTATGCAAACGGAACCTTTATGTGTTCAACGGAAATATAATTGGTTTCGTGCAACGTATACGAAACCATTATATTAGACTTACAACACAGTTGAAAGCTTCGAATAAACAATAAGGAGCCTTATGTTGTTTAACAGAGACAATTATATGGTTTCGTTAGTTATCCAATCACTGTTGCATTTCGCAGTATCAATGGCAGCTTCGCAAAGCGGGCTAAACTTTATCAGCTCCCGTGCAGAGGCTATTAAAGTTCCAACACGTTATCACAAGATCACTGCGCTTCGTTTGAAAGCATACACGATAATGTATGCTATTGAACATTTCTTATTTATTCGCTGGGCTAGGAATGATTCACTGGTTGCTGTAAAAATAGTACACTTGTCGATACAACGGTACAACGAAATACAGCAGAGCTTATTAGCGAAAGCTGAAAGTCTTAAAAGCAAATATTGTAAAAAGGTCCGTACAAGTATATAATGCATAAGCTACAGAAACAAATCAACGCATAGAAGAATGAAGTATTTATATAGATAATGTAATGTTTATTTATCAAATCCATACACTGGTCAACCGAGCCTCAACAGATTAACCGATAAGGTATAGCACTGAACGCAATAAGAAAAGGGCATTTTAGTTTCTCTTAATGAATTGCTTTTTTTATTTAGCATTGTCACGAAAATACCGAATTAATGCTGAAATACTAAAAACAAGTGTATACAAATATCATATGGACTCACTGAACTATTGCAACGAAAAGGCGAAAAACATTTGATTCGATACAGCATTAAGTATTCAGCAAAACAATTGACAGACTTTTCATTAATTAGTTCATCCATCACTAATATATTTTCATTTCATTTTTATCTTGACTACTCTTTTTAATTTGTGACAGGCTTTTACATATTTTTAATAGTACACAAAAATTTCTCAGCACACTATATCGATCCACTTTCAGCTGTTTGTTAGTGTGGCTGCTGTATGCTAAATTTACCTTTTTAGAAATACCCAATAAAATAGGAGTAAAATGCGCACCATTCGCAATTTACCCATTACAGGACGGAATTTACAGTGTCTAACTCTTGTTCTCCAACTAGCAAGCCAGTTGGTTTCGTTTCTTGTTTTTCGGGAATTCCCCCCAACTAGTCATCTATGCAACCACGTTATCAAATAATCCGTTTAAAGGTAAAAGAAAAAAACATTTCTTCTTAAAAATCAATTCATTGAAATAAAGAAATACATTTCTTTATTTTCCTTTATTTAGATTATCCATGGGTTCATCACGTTCAGCATTAACTAGTTCAAGAAATAGTGTTCAAGATTGTCTTAATCCAATTTGTGAAAATGATTGTGATCAACCATCAGATTTTGTTAATGAAAATCTCTTCAGTCATTTATAAACTACTTCTATTCGAATGAATGATTCTCAATTAAAGTCGCCAATGGCTCTTCAAAATGAGACTCAATCATCAATTAATAGTCAAAGATTTACTGATGATCGTAATATATAAAAAATAAATGAACTATAAG